AGTGATCACTGCACACAAAAGACTAGCTAACAACACCCATCAATCACAGTGACAGATCATCTCCCTCCTTATCAGATCAATACACCCATAACAAAAAGCACCAGGATCACCATAATCACCCAATCTCCTGAAAAGGAAAAAAAAAAAGCTAATCCCACAGCTATAAATACTCAGTTAGCCCACACACTACACCAGAATACAAACAGAGTTCTAACTCCTGTCCTCTGAATATGCCGGCCACAGAGACTGGTAGGAAGAAAAATCTCCAGAACACGGCCAAGCAGCCCGAAAAACCTACAACCATCAATTTTGGAATTGCCGTAGATCACAAGCTAAATATGAGCCAGCAGTGTGATGTGGCTACAAAAAAGGCAAATGATATTTTAGACTGCATTAATAGACGTGGTGGTGCTGGGGGTTAAACTGCAGAAGCCTCTGTGCTGCAGGGTCAGAAGACCTGCAGTCGTGAGATCAAATCCACGCAAAAGAGTGAGCCCCCTTCACTTGTCCCAGCTCCTGCCAACCTAGTGATTCGAAAGCATGCAAAATTAAAAATGCGAGTAGATAAATAGGTACCACCCCGGTGGGAAGGTAACGGTGTTTCGTGTCTAGTCGCGCTGGCCACGTGACCACGGAAGATTGTCTGCGGACAAACGTTAGCTCTATGGGTTGGAAACGGAGATGAGCACTGCCCCCTAGAGTCGGACACGACTGGACAAATTGTCAAGGGGAACCTTTACCTTTACCTATTAGAAATATAGTCTCCAAATCCCGCGAGGTGCTACTCCCCCTCTATTCAGCACTGGTTAGACCCCACCTTGAGTATTGTGTTCAGTTCTAGTCACCACACTTCAAGAAGGATGCTAACAAATTGGAACAAGTTCAGAGGAGGGTGACAAGGATGATCAGGGGCCTGGAAACCAAGCCTTATGAGGAAAAGCTGAAACAATTAGGCATTCATGAAAAACTTGGATAATCACCTGGCAGAGGTGCTATGATTGTATTTCTGCATTGAGCAGGCGGTTGGACTTGATTGGCCTTGCAGGCCCCTTCCAACTTCAAACTTTTCTATGTTTCTATGAATCTAACTCTGCTAATTGGCTAGTGGCCAAAAGATAGTGACCCAGAATGGTACAGGTAGGAATGCTCAGGGGACTGGCTGATTCGCCCCAGCAATTAAGTTGTGCAATTGTTGGTTTTAGGACTGAACCAGTCCACCCCACAGCAGATCAAACAGTGGGCTAAAGGCCCAGGAAGTCACTCACTCCATAGGACCCATCCTTTTCCCCATCCCAAGATATATAGTTTGCTTACAAAAAGCTCAAGCCAGAAGTACCCATTATATCAATGCTGTCCAGACTAGCTATATTTGAAGTTTTTCCACATGTGAGAAGATGGCTACTGGTCATATGTCACGTGGTGAGGAAACATTAAGGAAGAGGGATGGTGAAAACACACTTCTGCACTTGAGAGATTGGGTCATCTCACTGAAGGACAGGCCCTGTTTTGTGCTGATGTTAGATACTGTTATATCTCTAGCATAATCATCAATCATTCCCATCTTTTATAAGTTTGTAAATATCCAGAAGGAGCTGAAATGTTTCATTTCCTAAGAGATCTATGAAAGATAGTGCCTCTTCAATCTCAAAACAACAGCAGTAGCCTTTTGTGGGCTTGCTGTTTCTTCAAGTGATTGAGGAAGACGAGGGACACTGGGTGAGCCCTGACTCTCTTGTATGCCCCCTTCCCTTCCGAGGCAACTTGAAGAACAAATGTCTGAAGTGGGCAGTCTCCTTCGTTCATGCAGTCTACTCAAAAGATCTAAATCCTAGTTTATTTACAACCTTGGTGTGCTTGAAGGCCTGAGACTTACCGAAATATCCCTGAGCCCATCATTTTAAATCACACAAAAAAAGAGAGCACACGAAGAAGGTTATGGGAATGAGAACAAAACTATATCAGTCAGTTTACTGGGAGCTGATTCTGTAGTGTATGATCAGAAAGAGTGGAAGAGTTTACCACAGCATGGCGCTTCATTGGAAATATGAGGCAGTGAGGCTGCAATAGATTTTTTTTTTCTTGCCGTGCAGCCGTGAGCTGAAGATGAATGGTAACTGTCCTCCAGAAGCTGGCCACACACCACTGTACTTGAAAGGGAGTGGTGGTAGGAATACTGAGAAAATAATAATAACCGGAGGGCCAGTGGGGTGTACAAACAAGATCCAAGAAAGTCAGGTTCAAATTTCTGTTCAAATTCCTCATTGAGGAATGGCGATGGTCATTGTAAGTCGGAACTGACTTAATGCCATATAAAAACAATATATTCCAGAGGCTTGGAGGAGGATTAAAGCACACGTAAGCAATAAAAGGTAATTGTTTCAGTCCAGCGGAGAACAGTTCTATAAAATCTAAGTAATATAGAATGAGATGAATTTCTTGTCTGTTTTCCTGTGTTTGTTCAAAATTTGGTGTCTTAAAGCTAACCATGCCTTGCTGTTGAAGGACTCATGACTGGAATGTTTGCACAGACACTGCTGTTAGTTTATATATAGGGGGTGGGCGGGCGGAGCTGCATGAAATATATAGGAGGAGATATTGGTATAAGATAGATACAGTATTTAGTTTACAAAGGAGGATTAAAGGATGCTGAAGAAGTCATATACTGTCTAATGAAGCATTACACCGTCTGTTGAAAGAAAGACAATAAGCCATCATTATCATCTTCATTGGGTCATAATCATAATTTTCATTTTGCTTGTAAGCTAAAAATGGCTGACAAAAAAAGTAACAAAACTGTCCTGGCCTTTGGGCTTGCCATCTAGAAGACACGTCTCAGAAAGAAAAGGGGGAAGTACTATTGTTTAGTTACAAAAAATAAATTGCATTACATTTGATATTATAAGAAATCTTGGGGTCTTGATTAAATCCTTACTGGACCACCAAACAAGCATTATTCTTCCTTTTATTGAAGAAGGTACAGTGAGACCTTGGAATGTTACTTCAAAAGATAGTTTATAACAGTTGTAGTTCGAAGACGGTAGAACCTTTAAGAAGCTTCCAAATGGAAGTATTTTGGTACACATTCTTTCATTGATGAAAGTATGTCTCTGTACATAAGTTGTCAAATGGATGCTTATTTCATATTGTGCATATTTTCAAACACATTTTTGCAAGCTCTGGAAGGGATGGATTTCTTGACCTGACATTGTGTTTGGATATGTGTCCAGTTCTGGAATGTGCAAATAGGGTAGCCTCTGAAATTTCTTCAAATCAGGAATTTGGTAATTTCACATTAAAATGCATGCTCAACATTTCTTCTACCCACTGCTGTCCAGTACTTCACTTTTGTAACAAATCTGCTAGTACTAAATCAGAATGGTCAAAACAGGTGCAAGTAGGCTTCCGGTGTTTCCTGTCCTCTGAAGTCACCTCCACTGCTGGGATATATCTATTGTGCAACTGGTTCTGTGATGAAGGTAGCACTGGGAACCTATTCCATGGAATGTGGGATTGAGCATTCATGCCAGTGAATATAACCCGTCACATTACTTCCCAATAGTAAATGTCATAAATGATGCATATCTTGCAAGCATTTTGGATATTTTCTTTTTCATTTTTCTGCTGGTGTTACACCCAAAGGGAAAAGTGATGATAACATATTCATCTCAGATAACAAGGCAAACTATAGAGCAATGGGTTTTAAATGATTCTGAATAGATAGAGACAAATGAAAATGGATCATTTCTTACAAAGCCATCATGTCTTTGTTGGGTTTTGATTGGTTTTGACTGTGTGTGCCTGTGTCCGCGTATGTAGATGTGCACCAACAATGGATGACAAGCAATGAAAATCCAATTTCTCCTGGCTCGTTGACATAGTTGCAAATGTGTGCTGTATTTATGTCTCTTGCTGTTTGTTCTCAAAACTATTTCGAGAGAGAGTCCTCTTGTTATGTTTTGCTCCAAATTAAATGTAGGCTTTATGCAGGTCTGGAGGTTCTGGAAGTCTGTTAGCTAGGCCGTATTGCTGGGTCATTTACTTTCTGATGTGTCTGCCATTGGAGGAAGACGTCTCCTCTCAGAGCAGAGAAGTCTCAGGTCCAGGCAGCTCGGTGCAGCCTGCAACCTGTGTATATAGGCTTGAGCTAAAAGACTGTAAGGCAAGAGAAAAGGTGTCCCATGCAAGGTCATGTGAGTGACCCAAAATTCCTACCACTATTTTAGGCTTTATTGAGGGACTTTAGCTGGCACTCACTTTCTCCTTTGGGGCCAGCAGCTCAGCCTTTTCCGTTCCAGTTAGGAAAGAGATACAAAGACACGGGGTGTTACACCAATAATCTTTTTTTTTAATAGAACAGCTGAGAATAGCCAACTTTGGTCAGTGTTCAGCAGTAAAGGCTATTGAACAATAAGTTTGATTCAGTTTTTACTTAGCATGTGCACTGTCTTTGGACGAATATGCAAAAATGACTGGAAATCCAGAGTCTTTGGGAGACACGAGGGTAACTCTGGGTGGAGCCGTTGGAAGACGACAGTCTGTCTTTCTCCCCATCGCCATGGTTCTGCTTTGTGATAGTGCACGTCCTCCTGCTTTCTGGTCTTTGCACAATTGCTGGAAGGGTGCCTGTGGGCAAAAGCAAGACGACAGTCTGTCTTTCTCCCTATCGCCATGGTTCTGCTTTGCTGGAAGGGTGCCTGTGGGCAAAAGCAACGTGCTCCTTTCTACCATGTCGCTAGAACTGATGCCCTGCATAGCCTCCTGCCCAGGTCGTAGCCATTCACATTTCCTCTTTTCCAGGAAAGTGGTCTTTCCCAAACTCACAGTACCAGGAAGGCACAAATACTGTCACCAGCTGTGGACAAGGAGTGGCCTGGAGTGTCACCAAAAGGGCAGGGGGCCGAGAGGGGTACCTCTCTGTGTGCCCTGATTCAGACATGAACTCAGCTGGGGGCCACTGAAAATCCCCACTTCTTACTCAGGTGTTCTTCTTCTTCTTTTAGGAACCCCCCTCCAACTTTGTTCCAGCCGGAAAACTGGTCCCGAGGATTCAACCACTTCATTTCCCAGTGAGTACTAGTGTTTCTTTCTGCTTTAAGTTGCTTACTCTGCAGAGTGTTACAGAATGATATGTGGAAGACCTTGGAAGTCACGTTTCCCCCTTAGCAGACAGGAATGGTTAGTTTTCATTTACATTGCATTTCCTCCCACAGACTCATCCTTCAGTGAGTTGACAACTAGATGGAAGGTCAGTTTCTTCAAACAGGCTATGATTTGCATTCAGAATTAATTTTCTTACCTCTTAGTAGGTACTGATCTCAACCATCTTGCAATGGCTATTTTACTTATTTGTTTCATTTCTTACATTTGTGCCTTGCTTTCTCCTAAATGAAACCAGTCCTCCAGATTTCTGTCTTGCTCAACCTTGGACTTACCAAGCCGGAGCCTTGGATTGACGGTGGTTCATAGTAATGAAATAAATCCTAACTTGTTTCCTTTGTATGCCTTAAACAATGCCAACAAGACCATGCCAAGAAGAATCTCCTTGCTGGAGATACGGGGATTATGAGAATTTATGAGACATCCTTTTTCTGCATTTCTGTGAATGCACAAAGGGAAAAGGAGTTATTTGAGATATTTTTGCAATATTGCGGAAAATAGAAAGAAAAAATGGACTTGATGTTTTGTTTACGCAGGTGAGGTTCAATTTTGCCGAAACAGAGACAACAGTGAAACTTCATGGCTTCCCTACTTCCCAAACACATATCCATGCATATATGTAGTCCATACTTTACAGTATATCTTTTGTTAGAGTTAACAGCGATGTACACAAGGTTGGTGCAAAAATCAGGTTTGGTGGCCAAAATCCTATTTTGTTTTTATGCCACTGTAACATGTCGTCATTTAGGCCCTTCTCCTCTTGTCTTCACACTTTCCCAACATCAAGGTCTTTTCCAAGGAGTCTTCTCTTCTCATGAGATGGCCAAAGTACTGGAGCCTCAGCTTCAGGATCTGTCCTTCCAGTGAGCACTCAGGGTTGATTTCCTTTAGAACTGATAGGTTTGTTCTCTTTGCAGTCCAGGAGACTCTCAAGAGCCTCCTCCAGCACCACAATTCAAAGGCATCAATTCTTCGGCGGTCTGCTTTCTTTATGGTCCAGCTCTCACTTCCATACATCACGACAGGAAAAACCATAGCTTTGACTATTCAGACTTTTGTTGGCAAAGTGATGTCTCTGCTTTTTAAGATGCTGTCAAGGTTTGTCATCTTCAAATATCTGATGCCCTAGCACACTGGTTCTTAACCTTGGGTTACTCAGGAGTTTTGGACTGCAACTCCGAGAAGCCTTCACCACCAACTGTGCTGGCTGGGGTTTCTGGGAGCTGCAGTTCAAAAACATCCGAGTAACAAAGGTTAAGAACCACTGC